GAGAGAGAGAGAGAGAGAGAGAGAGAGAGAGAGAGAGAGAGAGAGAGAGAGAGAGAGAGAGAGAGAGAGAGAGAGAGAGAGAGAGAGAGTTCTGCAAAGTATCTTTCTCCACTACCAGTGATTGTGTTACCAGTGTGCCTTGGACATTGTCATACTTCAGTTCTCAGTTGGCTGAATCACTCAGTGGTTCACTAAATCATGGTTGTGAGTTGAGTGTGTGCAAATATCCTCTGCGAGTTTACCTACTGACAGATAATTGAGCGTTGAAACTTGAAAGTGAACGTGCTGCCCTCTGCAACTGCATTTCATCCACAGATGATAAAAGATTTCCTTCTAAGAGCGAAAGTCGGTCCCCTCGCAGATTGACAAAGGGTGATTTCAGTAACCATGACTAACTACTGGTGCACTCACGGTAGTATGAACTTCGGACTGATCATGCATGCCAATGTTTGTTTTGCAGTTTTAGAGCATTATTCCATGCAAGCACACGGAGTACAAAACTTACCAACACAACCAGCTCCAATCATTTCGGGGGATTACGAAGCGCCTTCCTTGCAATCATCCTGTGTTTCCTCTCAGCAAGCAGTCCGCAAAACTCATCCTGTCAAGCATATGAAATTATGAATGCTAGGAATGCAGAATCAGCTGAGTTATGCATGCATGTCTATAAAACAGTTAAATGTATGGAAGTGATGCAAGGCTTGGATTGTGGGAGATGCGTAAGGGGGAACCGTGGGCCAGGTAATGCAAGGGGCTCTAGAATGTATTCGGCATTTACCATATAACAGGATGCAGTGCTCTTGACAACAACAAACAGGAGGAAGAGTAGGTAGAGGGTGGCGAGATTAAGTACCGCATTAGCTGCGCTTGGATTGATACTTTCTGAGTCTGACTCATCATCTGTGGCTGATTGCTGAGCCATTGTGTCCATGGCATCATAGAACTCTTCACTGAACCCAATGGCCTCACGGGAATCCTCATCTCTTATAATCCTCGCTGATACCATAGCCCGCTCTCCTTCCACCTTCTTCTTCGTCTTGCTTGGCCCACGGTCTTCCTTACATAGATTTCCACAAGCAGCGAAATACTCCCTCAGTCCTGCAAAATCGCCATCCAAGTGCGCGGCTTGGTATTGAGAGAAGCACAACCACCATTCTCATTGGTGCACAAAGAGGACAAACGCATATGCCCCCGGAAAAGGCACCCACCGCATTCCTCTGACAGGGACCCTGGTTCATTACAACTGTGTTTAGAGCAACATTCACGCCAAATACAGTTGTAACAACCGTGTCTTTCACTCAGAGGAAGATCATCGCTGTCCTCAGTCATCCGCCCCCCAACACATACCCAGAGGCACAGTCACGTTTTATACACACAGCTGCCCTTTTTTTTGAAGTTGTGTTTAGAGAATGGAAAGCGTATGCACGCACCATGCAAGGTGTTGGAGCTTGGTACTGCTCGCACAGTGCAAAGAAAAGTAGATGGAGACCCGTAATCTTAGAATAACTCAGTTCCGCCCGTTGGTAAATTTAAGGTGATTTTAGACCCTAGCCCTAGACCCTAGCTGTGGAACCTGGTCTTAGATTCAGGTTCCCTAGCTTGCTTGCTTCCTGTTGCTAGATCAAGGTAGGGATTCAGTCAGACTACTAGACAAGGGTAGGTAGGTAGCCAAGGACGAGGAAGATACAAGATTAAAATCAAAAGAAAAAGAAAAGTGACCACACCCCAAAACAGAAGAAAAAGACCACACCCTAATCATGCCCGTCAAATCTGTGGTCTTGGTTGCATCTTACTGGCTTGACTTCTCCCATTCTGATTGTGTGTGCTCCCTCGTTCTCTAATGTCAGGCATGTTTTGTGATCTTGAGTTTGCAGACTCAAGAAGGCATATGCTTAGCAAAATACCTGTGCATTATTGTTGTGCTCTTCGCTGCGTCTGGATCTGAATTACGACGTATGTTATCTCTTTCGCAGAACTTTGAATGCAATCCTCTATCGAATACATCCACATTGTATCTCCACTAACAAATATTCAATCATTCACAAGGTGACGAACAGAGTGAAGTGATCAAACATACTCAAAATATTGACCATGTACAACTCCCTAATCTCTCCCCGAAACATCAAACAATAACAATCAATGCCAGCCATCTCTCCTGGCGAATGGTCAGCGTGGTCACAATTGCCCTAAAACTAGACTATGCTAGCTTTCTCCATCATCGCCACATGTCACCACCAAGCACACTTCTGTTCCACTGGAGGCATCAGGGTTCTCTTTCTCCCTCTCCAATCCTTTCCTCATCCAGTGCCTCACTGATGCTCACTCACGTATCCAGAGCAGACTTCTTCTAGCAGTGTTTACCACCCCTCGTCGCAGCACCCAACAGCCATGGTTGGCGTTAGCCACTTCTTCCCTGGCACTGGGTACAGCAGAACAGTTCTTCCCACCGTGCTAGTGCCAGACTCCAGCAGAGTGCCTTCTGCTCTTCACCTGCCTGAGTACTGGCCAGGGCCCCTCCTCCCTTCCATGCCAGCCTCCCAGTCAATTCGCCTACTTGTCGAATGCAGAAGCGCCTGGGATGGACCTAGTGTATGAACAGCCAAGTTTCTGTGCCCGAACCCAGCACTTTCCAGCAAAAGTATGCCTTCTGCGCCCAGACGACATGGTAATTGTTGTGCCCTGGAAACTTCTGGGCCCAGTGCGCACACACCAAAAACTTTAGTGTGGGGCCGACACCGATTCTAAAGCTGTGGTCAAAACGACCCCAGGCCCTGGCAGCACTGAATTCCATGCCACCTAACCTGACAATGAATAGTGGAAAAGACAATGCCAAGCAATGAACACATTTAGAAGGTGCTTCTCTGGCCGGACCTGGCAGGACTGAGTTCAATATCGCCCAGTCAGACATATGTTGCCCTTCTGCAAGTCAGAATCACACACCAATACCACAGCTGTCATTTCTCAAAACTGACAACCAGAGCAACGAGGTGCTGACATAACTTGCTCTACTGGTTACTGAGTCATATACTGACCCATAGGGCCTAAACTCACCACACTACTCGTGAAAAGAAAAAGATGTGTGTGCATCTTCCCACAGGAAGCGGCCAAATACGTACTTTACTAAACACATTTTGCCAGCTTCTGAGGAAAGATGCACTCACGTTTTGTTTTCATTCTGTGCTCAGCACGTTTTGTTTTCCTTCCGTGAATAAAGTGGGGCCCATAACCCCTCAAACAACACCAATGGTGCTTAACCTCTCAAGCTGTAATGTCCCAGCGATACACTGTCTGAGCCGGCAGCCAGAGACTCCAGCTGTACCGTAACACAGTACTCAGATGCTGTGAGAGATGGGATTTTGACTCGCATGGATGGACAGGACACATTTGCAGGGTTGAGGAACAAAGGTCCGAACAGAGTGACAGGGCTTGGATACAACCGACACACAAAGGTCAAGTAAGGTGGAAAGAACTCAGGGGCTGCCTTATTGAGCAACTCAAGCAGGATAGAATCGAATCGGGAGTAATGGAACAATCGAATGAATGAACAGTGCTTCCACTGGATTTTACATGTGAGCCGGGAATTGAACTGAGATGGAGGTGCTGGGCTCAGACCGAATTGGCTGGTGCCAGAGTTCAAAAATGTGAAAAGATCACTCGAGCTGATTGATTGGCTACTGAGGTACGGGACCAGCATGCTAAACCAGTAGGCACCATGAATTACCATAGCTACGCTGGACCAGACCCCGGAACCCTGACCTCCCGAACCCTTCCGGACTTCCGGAACACCGGAATCTCCAGAGGATCCGGACCGGTCCGGATCCCCTTTCCGGATGCCTTTCCGGATACCCCGTATTTTCCGTGGAAAAAAGGGAAAAAAACTGCGTACCTACATACATTACCTTGGTGTCTGTGCAGGATGAGCAAAATCGGAATGAATCTTCAGCCAGAACATGGAAATATACACTGCCACACTTCTTTTTCATTTTTTTTGCATGTGTGCATCAACTGAGCAGCCTGCCAATGTGCAAAATGAGAAGGAATCTTCCGCAAGAACATAGGAAAATACACCGCAGCGGACAGATACATTGAAAAGAAATCCCGGTGTGAGTATGGCCTAAAGTGCTGTCAGCTGCAAATATCGCTGCACGTGCGCACGAGAGAGAGAGAGAGAGAGAGAGAGAGAGAGAGAGAGAGAGAGAGAGAGAGAGAGA